CAGAATCCAATGGAATCCAACGGAATCTCGTAGAATCCAATGGAATCCAAAGGAATCCAAAGGAATCCAGAAGAATCCTAAGGAATCCTAGAGAATCCGAAGGAATCCTAGAGAATCTTAAGGAATCCTAGAGAATCTTAAGGAATCCTAGAGAATCCGAAGGAATCCTAGAGAATCCTAGAGCATCCTTGGAATCCTAAAGAATCATAGGGAATCCTTGGAATCCAGAGGAATTCAGGATTCCAGGATTCCGTGCTTTCCCCCTTGGTACCAAGATAGAGCCTAAACGGACACAAACTTCATGGTCAAAAGCATAATTAAGTGTTATTCCCAGTGCGAGAAAATTCCTTCATAGGTCCCAATCACTTTCATAAACAATATGACGTTCTGTTACTATGTCTTCGCCGCGATATGAACATATGCTGGTGGCATTGTTTGCTACAGCAGCACATAATTTGAGATTTGTAAATTCCTTAACATTCAAACCGTATAGTGCATAGCGCAATATGCTGAACCTATAATAAAGAGGTCGGCGTGTTAAAGTAGAAGACTGCCAGATTAGCACTAACCACTGCATCCAATTTAAAGCACCAACAATACTTTTAAGATCAACTATAAAGCCACTGAAGATTATCATAATTACATAGGTCATGCCAAGAATGACACTGGCTACACCTAAACATGCGGTGAAAAAAACTCCCTTGGGAGTAAATGAAAATAGTCAATTTAGAAAGATTCGCTAACTTACCAAACACATCGACAGTAGCCGATAATAAGAAACAAAGCGAACATGAACACAGTGTGGTAATCAAAGTGAAACGTAGAAAAATAAAGAATGTTCCAACTGCAGGTTGAAAATTAATCATATAATAGACAGTAATTGATAGGATAACTGCTGGACTCCGACTAAGATTCCGTAGAACACGTTGTGATACATAATATAGTTCATTGAATCGAGATTTTCTCGGTAATTTTTCATATAAAATCTGAGCTGATGAATGATATCTGTTTCTTGTTAANTTAACAGATGCCCATAAAGGAGATATTAAATATCTGCTATTCAATGTTTGAGCTAGTTTGTTTTGTATTAATTTTTCGTCTTCTTCTTTATCACCCTTTTAATAGAACTATAATGCCAACTCTTAATGGAATCAAACCACAAATCAGTTTTGATATCATATATGTGGATATATGATAGTAGCCACTTGAATTTTCCTGAAAGAGATAACGTGTAGTTATTAAAATAACCTGGTTTTGAGAGAGAATTGACGACCGCGTCGTGAGTTGTCACAACATTGGTCAAAAAAATATTTTCTAAAATGTGTCCATTGGATTCTCTATCTACGGAGCTGGGTTTATGAAAAAAGTGTAGGCTTTCGGACCTTATAGTTCCTGAAATGGTGAATATTGAATTTGAGGCGGTGTCATCTTATGCATTTTCAATATTTTGAGTTCAACTAAAATCCAATATTCTAGGGCTAAATCTCATTCGTAAGAGCATCGAAAATTATACAAAATGGCTGGCTTGTTTAAAATTGTTTTAAAATTAAATTTTCATCTTAAATAATTAATTTTGCTTTTGCAGAAGCCGAAAACCCGTTTTTTCCCACAAACCAAGTTAGAATGTTTTCTTCTTTATTGTATGTGGCAGAGCGAGTACTCAGACTCGTCCGCGAACTTTTCCCACAAATTCACCCTTCAGTGAATGAAATTCTTTTCACACTCACTCTCACGCTGCTTACAGCCATCAAATTTCAACTAGCGGAAGAGTCGTTTCGCTGAAAAGTCGATTCACGGAAGAGTCGTGTCACGGATAGAGCGTGAACTTCTTTATAAGATTTATATAAAATTTCGAAAAACAATTCATAACGCAAAACACTTACATGAATAAATAATGCACGTTCTTTCAAAAATAATTCAAGTGCAATTAAATTAATCAAGACTTGAAACACTGTCACAAGAAATATAGCACCGGCATGTTTTTTAACACCTTGATCCAGTGTATGATCAACACGGAAGAACACACAACCACAAAGAATAGCAAATACAACGCTAATACCGATTTGTATTATGATCACGATTGGACTTCGACTAAGATTCCGTAGAACACGTTGTGATACATAATATAGTTCATTGAATCGAGATTTTCTCGGTAATTTTTCATATAAAATCTGAGCTGATGAATGATATCTGTTTCTTGTTAACAGATGCCCATAAAGGAGATATTAAATATCTGCTATTCAATGTTTGAGCTAGTTTGTTTTGTATTAATTTTTCGTCTTCTTCTTTATCACCCTTTTAATAGAACTATAATGTCAGCATACTCGAAACAAACACTCACTTAACTGCTGGCTAGCAACTCCCTCCACCCTGATCTCGATTCGTTACTCCTAGTTTTCCTAATTTTGAAGAAATTCTTATCCGATTACACACATGTCTGTTACCTCATTTTCACTATTATTCAATATTGCTGATGAACCTCGATCGCCTTGTACAATATCCAATAGAAAATCACATGGATTATCATATTGTTCAC